AGTAGGAGAAAAATGACCAACGTAGAGAAATGAATCATTTTTAGAGATTAAATTGAGTTTATTAAAGGTTTTAAACAAAGTATGCAATTTCAGTTGTTTTTAAACCCGAAGGATATGAAGCTCAACAAAGCACAATTATTGCAACATGGTACTGTATATCGAATAAGTATAATATTTTACAAACTGTATAGAGTAATAATTGCCATTCATCATTAGGGCGTGACATAAGAACATGAACATAAGAATCTTAAAAGTATTTAATGCTAGATCGCCTTTTAAAACCGTCTTTCACCTTTATTGTTATTGTTTATCTATTTTTAATAAAGAATGAGTAGGGTCACGGCCCTTTAATACGTGCTGTTTTTAATATAATTACATCTCACTCCTTTTCAATCCATCCCCTTGGTCATAAAGGGTTATCTTAAATTTCCTCCAAGGAGAAAAACATGCAAGCAAACAAGAACATACAAATTATATTCATTGAAGAGTTTTAAAGCAACCACTGAGATGAGCTCTACTGGTACAATTATTTCTACCGCTAATTATACTAATTGTTTCTACTTGATGGCAGATTTAGCACACAAAATGATACTCCCGTTTCTGCCAAAAATGGCAACCAAATACGCTTTACGACTTTGAACAGCAGGTGTATCTTTTTCCGAAACATTGTTTTATTTTAGTCTATCCAAAGGATGGTGTTCTTTTACACAATCTGCTTTTAGCTTGGTTTTTCCTGTTGCTGTTGCTGTTGTTGTCGTTGTTGTTGATGCAACGACGTAGCTTCTCATCGTTCAAAAACATGCGTTCTCGTTATTGATAGTTCAACCCTGAAACTCTCAGAAGAGATTAGCTTGTAACTTCTTCCTATAATATCCATTTATTATCTAGCAAACAGGTGGTTAGAATACTCAGACTTGTCCCATAGAACTTTCCATCTTAATCTAACACCAAATTCTCGTCGTTAATTTACTAGGAAATGTGTAACAGCTAGAGGGAAGAATTACCAAAAAGATTTTAGGGGTTAAAGGATAAGTACGATCAAGAAAAATTGTTTAAAAAGTTCACCTGCAAAACATTTTTCTTGCAGCTCTTAAAAAAGCTTTTCGAAGATCTTTTAAAACACAGCAGTACAAGATTGGATTGATGGCAGAGTTCATAAAAGCCCCAGTGGTCGCATACATTAAGCTACCTGACGATTCCTGCTTCAGCAAAACAACATCGACAATCAGAAATGGAAAAATTAGCGAATAACACAATATCAAAAACATGTAAAATATGAAAGTGTTTATGGTGGATCCCTTGAGACGAGTTATATTTAAGTTACTACCAATATTTGGGCCTTGAACGACTTGGTTCTGCGCTTGAATCTGCCTCTGGTGTCGCTTAACAATTTGATAAATTCTAACGTAAGAGAATGTCGACAAAAGGAGACAGCTGATGATGAAACAGGCAGCTAAGAGAAAAAATACTTCTCGTTTCCAAAAGTATACCAAATTCCACATATATGACAAATCACATTGTAGCTAGCGTGCAGATAACCCTTTTAGAGGTCACCATGGTAGCATATCTCATGTGGTAGTGAAGAGCCGCGTATGGATCCAAACTTATGAGTGTCATCGTTAATAGGGAAACTCCACAGCCGTTGCAGGAGAAAAAGTATACCACATACTTCAGGGTGTCATTTGGTATCAGCTCTTGAATGACAAAGAGAGGCTGCGCTATAAGTCCAACAATTACATCTGATGCAGCCAGACCACAAAGCAGAGTTGTTGACGGCGAACGTAAAGAGGGTGTCCTAGAAACAGAAAACATGGCCAACAGATTTCCAACAACATGAAAGTTAAGTTAATTCTGATGATCGCAGGCTTGGAATAGTCATATTCCCGAGAGCATGAAAACGATCGTGCCATTTCGTGTGTTGGAAAGGTCCCGTTCATTGTTTTGCGGTTTTTGTTCCACACAAGGAACACATTTAGATGAAGCGGCGGAGTAAGTTTCGGGCTGGAGTACGTCTCGGTGTTCACTGCAGAGCGGTTTCTTAAAGTTTCGTGCTCATTATGTTACTATTGCTTACAACTGGTACAAAACTCAGATTCTTAAAAGAAGAAAGTTACAGAGACCAACTTGCGGTTTTTCAGTTTTGGACCTTTGAATAATTTTCTGGGGGAGATACAAGTATTCTTTTTTGAAAAGAACTCTATTATCTTTAAAACTTCAGCCAGGGTAAATCTTTTGTTGATGATTTTCAAACATAGCTAAAACCTCAAAGAACCTCCAATTTTTACAATATCAATTAAATCAAATTTTTGTGTGCAGATTTTCAAACAGAACTCCCAAAGTCAAACCCTATTGTTTGCCTTTTTGTTGTTGTTTCCTTTTTTCCATAATCAATTAAAACAAAATTGTTTTCCGCCAGAATAATTTCTTTACTTGGACAAATTTTTGTTTGCAGATTTTCAAATAGAACTCCAAAGTCAAACCCTGTTGCTTGGCTTTGATTTGTTGTTGCTGTTGTCTTTTTTTCCCACAATAATTTAAAACAAAATTATTCTCCGATAAAATGATTTCTCTGCTCGGACAAAGCAGACACATCAGGCAATTATGAGAATTTAATTGCTATCAATCCGATTGGATTGCGACTTTTGTTTAACGAAGCGATGGATCCAAGTGATTGCCAAATAAACACATGTTCAGTACTTTGGGAAAACAAAAAAATTACTTGTCAATCATTTTTCTTTATGTTGGTACCGACATTTAAAGCTTTTGAAGTAAACGCTTGTGATTTTCTATTTTTATTAATATTTGAGTTTCAGTTTCGTCTGTGACTCTTTTGAACTGGGTTAATTCTCAAGCCCCAAAAGTGGAGAGGATCATTCTCTCAGAAAGTAAATGATGAAAATCTATTTTGAAAAAAATTAAAGTCTTAATAAAATGAAAATGCTCGCATAATCTTTTAAAGGCAACCCGCGGTCAAGGCGGATGTGAAATGAATGTCTTCCCTTGCCTTGATTTGCATGACAGCTAAAGAAAAAAAAATTGAAAGCCGAGATCTTTGAGCCAGTGCTGTCTCGCTCTTCTTGTCTGGTTCGCCTCTGGCTCTTAAAGAGCTGACGAAGGGGTTCACGTTCCTTTACAACTTTCTCTATTGCGTTTGAAAAACAAAATGAGTTTTCTTTCTTCACTGGCGATTTTAGAGGTTCTTATTTATTCTATACGATTTAATTGGCAAAATTTCACTCAACCCCTAACATGTGTCACAGTTACTGGGCAACGCGACCGAGTTTTCAAAATTGTTTCGTGGCATGAATACTTCGCTTTCTGATTACCTGGAGTAGGAAGAGGTCCACCAGCCTAAATTTAGGTTCGACTGCTATATTTGTTCGTGTTTATGATAAATTTATCATTGAGGCTCAGTAAGTTTGATGTAGCCGCTGGCAAAACATTTACTCGCAGGTTCATAAATTACGATGAGACATGATGTCATAACAGTTTGATGAATTGTTTAATGGTACGTCGAATTGAATAATCAATATTTTCGTATCCTCCTAAAAGGGTTGTTCTCTACAAACAAAAACGCAAAAAATTTCAGATGAAACTGAAATTGTAAGCAGAATCAGCTATAGATAGAGAACGAAAGAAAACTTTGAAATATCGTTCGCTGAGGAAGCCTTCTGAAATGCAAAACAACGTCTTTAACACTTCCAGAGGCCCTGCATATGATCAAGAAGTGGA